ACAAAGATGTTAAAAAAATCTTGAAAGGCAATACCTTCTTAATGTGTAAATTGACTGTTTCAACCATGTTGACGTATTTGTAAATCTTATGTTGTCGAATATGTGTGCTCTCTATTTTAACTCTCTATCTATTATAGTTTGTGATATAAATTTATCGCATGGGAAAAAAAGGTCAGACAGTGACATTAGCACCTTTAGGGAGTCATTCGACAAGTTGACTTATTACCTAAACATATTTGCCAATAACAATTGAACTTTCTCTCTTTCAATAAAGGTTTCTGCAAAAACGGACAAAAACCACCACAAAGTGGCAATAACTTCTATAACGAGTCAACACGATTGACAAATTTGTCGCAATCTATTATGGATGATGAATAATTGAACAATATTACTCTTTTAATGAAAAAAACTCATGCCATTATATTTCTATGTTTGCCAAGTCTCCCTGGCATCCACGGAAACACAGTTTTACTCAAAGAGGCGAAAAATCCACTGAACGACTTAAAATCTAAATCTGAAATCCCATTTACTAACTTATCAATCTATCGAAAAATGAGTGGAGTGAAAGGAACTTAAAACCAAAACATTTCGATAACGTATTATGCAGGAACGATCAATTTGTTGTTTCTATATGCCGTATCGGTCATACTAGAATAACAAATGAATATCTCTTATATAAAAAACTAAGTTCAACCTAATGTTTACCTTGCGATTGCAAGTATACAATTAAACAAGTTTTCACTGAGTACAATTGAGAAATGGAAATAAGACAACAACCCCTCCAAAGAGCAGAAAACAACCTAAGGTCACCAAAATCCCGCACCTGTATTGACTTTTCCGATATTCTCAGAAAACATTTTAATGTAAAACTAGAGGCGCTCAAGAGCCTGTGGTTTTGGTAAATCATGTAAAATAAGGTTAAAGTAATAAAGATACCCTAATGATGACTGAGGCTAAGTTTGGTTTAATTTAGCCAAGTAGTTAAATAAAAAGCAGAAGATTTTTTAAAAGATTTACAAAAACTACCAATAAATTGAAGAAAATAAGATTAATGGACAATAATTCCAATAAGATGTCAATTGCAAATTGGTCATGTCAACTTATTTGTAGATCTTTCTTTGCTTGATTTTTTTGCAGTTTACAGTTTATCTCAATCTATAATGATATTAAAGACAATTAACAAAAAATAAAGAAATTCCTTTCCTCCACATCAAAAGTTGTTTCACCCAGGGCCTGTATAATGGCGAAAATGCCTTTAAATGAGTTTATGGAACACGCTTAAAAAATGTGGGAAGGGGTTCCCCTGACCCCGAGGTCGAAGGGTAGAGGCCAGACTTAAGTGATCCGAACATCGTACGAATTGTCCGATGTTTTAAATAAAATAGGCATTCCAACCCGTAGGCCGTGGGTTGCTACCTGTGTCGGTGGTTGACGATATCAAAGCGGATGGACCCGGTCCGATCAATCGGCTGGTCATGTGTAGCCCTTCAATTAATCCTCAACAATACGCTCCGCTCTCATATAATAATGTACATTATATACACAGGTATTTAAATTAAGCTATTTATAGTTGGGATAACCGAATAAGGCCATGGCTCATGGGTCAATCAAGTAGTACGCTTTCTATTTCGCTTGATGGATACGCTCTGCTTGAGTAATCTATTCTTGAAACATCTAGTGCTTTCCGCAGTGGATCTTGGGTGCTAATTTTGGGGACGAGCTACATATACTTGGAGCTCGTTTTCAGCATTAGCAATTGATCCCACCTCGCCACGGAAACACAACATCGCCCGTGTAGGCACTTCAAGGTGGGTGGATGACAAGAATGGTGAACCTTTCTCATTTCCTATGGCACACCAAAACCAACCCTCTAATTCAGCTTTAATAAATAAAAAAAGAAAATGTGATGATTCAGTGCCCTGTCAGGAAGATGACAGTTGGCCCCTATTTATTGTAATAAAAGGAACAGATAAAAAACCAATTTCAAAAATATCTCCCTTTGTGATTAATAAACAAATTTAAAGCGTTGCTGGCACAGTTAAAAAGTTTCAAAAAAGAGATCAAGGAATTTGTTGGTTGAATGTTCCCACAAAAGTTGGCAAATATTTCATGCATGTTCTGGACGAGAACAAATTAACAATAAATACAATAGGTAGGTCCTGTAATAGAGGCCGGCCGGGATTAAGGGCGGGGAAATTTAGACTGCCACTGGAAAATGAGGGAAAATTGGATAAATTTTGTCTTGCAACAGGCCACCTACGGACGCCCCTCTTTGGCAAGGGTTTTACTGCCGGTCTGAAGAAGACCTGTAGTGACCATATTTCTATTCCACAGTCTCCCTTGGGGTTGTTTCAATTAATGATTCCTTCAAAACGAAAAGCAAATAGTCCTATTTGCCCAAGCTCTAGACCTTTTAAATGTGTCGGTACATTTAATTCTGTCGATCATTATATCTTGAAACAAACTAAATGAAACAAGTGCGTTAGATGTAAAACAATATCAGAAAAAAATTAATAAAACAAGGGGGTTAGATGTAAAACAATATCAGAAAGACAACCATAACCTTGGACTAAATGCCGCCAAATAATCTAATATCTTGCATGAAATGTTTGACACTCTACGTTTAACAATTAATAATCAATAAATACTGTACACCTCGACTTGTAAATACAGATTTTTAAAGTATACCAAGAATAAGTGAACCATGAGTAATATATAGTTACGTTTGGTATAATTAAAGAATATTGCAGTAAAAATTTGGTAAACCTAATAAAAAACTATATATTGGGTCAGTTTCACAAGATCATGTGCGGTGTACAGCATATCTCATGATTACATCTAGCTTTTAAATTCAAAGTCTAAAAACTGACCAAAGATACCAGGCTTAAAAACGTCTTGTAATAAGTAGAGATAAGTAGAGACCAAATTAAATACTGAAGCGCATATAGAAGACACACAATTTCAACTGGGTTTGTCAAATACATAATGTATTTTAATGAGTGCGAAATACTTCAAATACAAAACAATACGATCTGCTTTTACATATGTTGTTTTTCTTTCATGAATGTCACAGAAATTTAAGAGATTTAAAGAATCAGAAAAAGAAATATTGGAGTGGCGTATGAAGCTGGGATGAAGCCAAGATACCATTAAAAGTGTAGCTGAGTATCATGTTCAGAAGATAGAATAAAGGTAAAATAAACTTTAAAGTGAATCAATCGGTGAATATCATTTATAACATTTTGAGGGTGAGTTTATAATCATCCTTTCTTTTTATTGTTTCTCTATATCTTGTATTGTTTAGTTAAAAACGATATGGGTGAACAAAAATCGTTATTTAAGGGCAACATCTGTTTTTGCTATATTGACATATTTGAAAATCTTGAAATGTTGATGATCTTGCTTTTTTAAAACTTCTGTATCTACTATATTTTTCAAGAAATTATAATACGATTGGAGCAATATTGCAATTGAATTATTGTAGACCTTGTCTTGGTGATAACTTTAAAGTTTAAAGTTTTTCCCACTTCGTTATAGATTTCAAGAAATCAAAACAGGTTACAACTATGAGGAGTCACCAGAAGATTTGAGTTTGATTTATATGTTTATCTCGTTTTGCTGATCAGTTGTGCTTATATAAATTTTCTGTTTATCGAAAATACTTTACAAGATACAGTTAATGATTTGTAGCATGAAAAAGATCTCCTTAATTTTATAATACAAAAACATAATTGACTATTCAAGTTAAAAACGCCAGGACTGTCCACTCTCCTGACCTAATTCAGTGTTTCTAATTTCCTTTATTACCTGGTAGAAAATAAATTTTTTTTTGTATGTTTTTTTTTTGTAGGGCAGTTAATTCAGGAATGCCTTACATAATAGGCATTTAAACCATATATTGAATGTTTTTTTGTCTAGCTTGATTCTAAATTTCAGATGAAATAAAATGTTTCAAAATGACATGGATTGATTGTTGGTTGCTTAACGTCCGGATGCAAGACTTTCATTAAATTGAATATTTGTAATTGGAACACTATCAAAAAAATCATACATGGTATTGACATTGAAATGCTTCCTACGAATATCAGCCAAGTCAATACAATTAATTAAAACATGTTTAATAGTATACTTGCAGTTGCAAGGTATACATTGTGGTTCGTCTTCATTTTTTTAGAAGATACTCATGTGTTATTCTAGTATGACCAATACGGCATCTAGAAATAACAGACTGATCTTTTCTGCACATAAAATTATCAAAAGGTTTACTAATATAGGTTTAATTTCATGTAATTTATGATCATCTTTTTTACTCCATTCATTTTTGAATATATTAAAAACATATTCTCTAATATTAGATCTAAAATCAGTATATGGTATATCACAGTTAGATAAAGGGTCATCCAGGACATTGTTTGCTTCCTGGTCTACAACCGTGTTTCCATGGATTCCAACATTACTTGGTACCCATAAAAACATTATTTCTTTATGAAAAATTATTAAATTCCTCATTACATATAAATTCTTAGGAATTATCGTGTTTTTAATTTTAGTATGTTGTATAGCTTGTAAGCATGAAAGTGAATCAGAACATATAATAAATTTTAATTTGTCTGAAGAAGCAATAAATTTCAAAGCCAAAATTATTGCCTTCGCTTCAGCAGTAAATATGGACGCGGCAAATGGCAAACAGAGAGTCGCAGCTCTGTCTCCAAAGACAGCAGCAGATGCAACTCGTTAAACGGATAGTAGCTACGATTTTCACTAAAATATGACTTAAACTAAAAATGCCGAATTTTAAACAAATATAAAGAATAATTAGGAAAAATTCTATTCCCATTGTCATTTCATAAGGTTTAAAGAAGATTTTTAGAGTTTTAACCACCGAAATGAATTATTATCTATAGACAATATATCGCTGTAACGACCGCCTTTATTCATACGACCTATAGTTGACCTGTGTTCGACAATCCAAATGCGCTTGCGCAACCCGTAAATGAAAGTAAACATGTCGGATAGAGGAAATTTAGCGCGAGGAAGAAAACGTACTCTCACGGATTCTGCAAGAAAGAGGAACAGAAAAGATGCACAGGCCGCTTATCAGAAGTCGAAAATCCACATTGGAGACGAGATTGATCGTTGGAATGACCTGAAAGACCGGTTACGTCTGGAAAGTCACACACAAGTTGCTAAACTTCTGTTGGACAGGTTTGTGTGTTATTTACATTTATATCTTCAAAATTTTTGTTCCAAAACAGACTTTTTTCATATTTCAAAGAAACACACTGCTTCTTATTTGTTTATATATTGTCAAATGATGTTTGTTTACTTAATTCTGGATGAAGAAATGTATGGAAAAGCGATAATTATAAGTGTAAACAAATGCGTGCATTCACGAGGCCCCGCAAAGGGGAAATCTTAAATTACTGTTATAAAAAGTGTATTCGGCATTTTATCTGAAATTTTAATTGATTTTAAGTTAAAATATCATTCATAGGTATGCAATTCAAGACAGAAATATCAGTCCAAGAAAGAGATCAAACTTTGAAGACAATGAGGTGTTCAAAACACCAACACACACTGCTCCATCCAGTACCTGCATGAAAAGTGCAACACAAGAACCCAAAGCCATGACTCCAAGTAAAAAATCAAAACATGAAGAATTTAAAACTCCAACATATGCTGCTAACTCCAGTCCAAGTATGAATTATGCAACACCGGACCCAAAAGCATTAACTTCAACACCAGGTCCTCTTGCTGACAATATTCAACCCATGTCTGATATGTCCAGAATTTCATCTTCTGAGAGTGAAAGACAAGCTGAGTATGTATTTGCTAATATTATGCCGCAAATGATTAGAAAGTTAACAATTTATTTTATTTCTTATTTTATACGTACATTTAAATTGTAATATGATGCTGATTGGAAATTAAACAGAAAAAGTAAATAAAGGTGTTTCATTTACATATAACTCATGCAATTTGCCTAGATTGAATGTGGAATTCATAAATACTTCATGGTTTATTTTCAGCGATTCTGATGCACATATCTCAGGGATTGAAGAATTACCAAGTCGTAGACGGTCACATTTGAAAGAATCCAGCAGTTTCATAAATCCTTTTGAGTAAGTTTTATTTTGAAAAAAGATATGAATTGAACACCGAAAAAAAAGAAATACAAATGGCAGCTCTTCTTAACTTGGTGGTCAGAAAAAGAAAATGTAGAAAAGATTTTATACGACTGAACTTATATAAATGATAATGTCACCTTGTTTCTGATAAAATATAAGGAACTTGTTATATTGTATTTAACTTTTTTCAACAAATGGAAGTTTTTAACGACCTTGATCGTGTGCAAACAACAAATGGAAGTTTTTAATTTTGCTAGCCATACATACTTAATATATCCCATGTTAAGTTACATATGTACACAAATATCCTTTATAATTTTTTTTAAATTCTCTTCTGCTTTTAGATTAACAATTGATATAACAGAAGTAGAAAGCAACAACTGTGGTTCAGATGATGAGGATTATGAGCCTAGCTTAAATATTACTTTTGGGTATGTATTCACTTTCCTTTTAGTTTCATAAGGCAACTATTAAATGCAGTGTAATTGAAACTTTTATAGAGGTCTTATTATTAAGATATTAACATTCAAGGTATAAGAACACCTCACTGCTTTACTTGTGGTTCATCATATTAATGTAGTCCTAAATGTACAATAATGGTTTACTTTTATAAATTTTGACTTTGATGGAGAGTTGTCTCATTGGCACTCATACCACATCTTCTTATATCTACTAAATGTACAAAAACAGATATTGATTACACATATGTATATAGATTTTCATTTGTATTAGACATCTTATGTTCTTTCAGTGAGGCTGATGACACAAGAAATATAATAGAAGAAGATGAAGAGGATGAAATCTATGATGATGAGCCTGAGCAGACAGATTTTTATTCTGGTCCTGGTGTGAAACGCATTGACTCTGATGAAGAAGTTCAAGATTTTTTGGCAGACCACCCATGTCTTGCCTTTTACAGTCAGCTCCTCAATTTAGCAATGACTTCTATTCAGAAAATATGCAGCGTTAAAGGATGTGGTTTGGAGGTTGACATAGAGAAGGAAGTGGTTGCATCGGCTATTTATCTGAAATGGGTAAATTTCATAATTTTACTAGGTTAAGATTTTTACAAATTCAATATCTCGTGTTAAGATTTTTTTTTGTACAATGTATTTAAAAAGAAAGAAAGAATTTGATCCATTCATTTTTGTGAGTCCGAACACATTCAGGAACAATAATGATATATATATATAAGGTATATATATTTAAAATTATACAAGTCTTGTTGATTATTACATTTTTATTTATTTGTTTTTAAGGTATGTCAAAATGGTCACATTGCACATAAATGGTGTTCACAGCCAATATTGAACAGAGGTATGCATAGTGGTGACATGATGATAGCTGCAAGTGTTGTCCTCTCAGGGAGCAATTTTCAAAAGATATCAATGTTTGCCAAATACTTGAAATTGCCCATCTTGAGCAAATCTACCTTTTTCAAGATACAGCGACATTATGTGATACCATCAGTAGACGAATACTGGATTGATCATCAGGATGCTATTTTAGACAGTTTTAGAGGACAAGATTTGGTAATTCTTGGTATGCACTTTATACAAATTTTATAACATTTTAATTTCTATAACAGCAACTACAGCTCCGGAACTCTGGCTTTGTTTCAGTTTGTTAGTTTTTAAGATCAGTGAAAAAAATTGGAAAGAAATATACATCATTGATAAATTATTTAAAAAATAAACATGTCTTAAAATTTGTCAATGAAATTTTAGTCTAGTGTTGAAAATCAAAGCAACTAAAATATTATTTTTTGGTTTAAAGGGGATGGACGAATGGACAGCCCAGGACACTCAGCCCAGTATTGCTCCTATACCTTCATGGAGAACATCAGTAAACAGATTTTGTGCATTGTTACTATGGACAAAAGAATGACAGAAAAGAAAAGCACAAACTTGGAAAAGGCTTGTTTTTTAAAGTGCCTCAAGTTCCTTTTAGATAAAGGTCTTAAAATAGCAGAAGTAGTGACTGATGCTCATGTACAGATTGCCTCCATCATGAGTAAGTAAAATTTTTCAAGTTTAGTTAAAAGGTGATATGGGGTAAATATGATGAGATGTCAACCAATCAAATTAGTGCTACTATACATTATCCCTTATGTTAATAAAAAACATTATATTCATAATGCCAACCATTGTGTTACTGTAAATTCAGAAATTATTGCCTGCATTTATTATTGCGATTTTGTTATTTTAGACTAAAATGCGATTTTAATTGTTGCGATATTCTGAAAAATCATGTTTGATTCATTTTAAAAAAAAAAGTGAGTTTCAATTATTGTGATTGTTTGAAATCTAATTTTGATACATGTACAATGTATTATTATTTCAATGCTTATTCTTGATTTATTATCTTGCAGAAAAGGACTATCCAGATGTGAAGCATTCATGGGATGTTTGGCATGGTACCAAAAATTTAGGGAAAAAGATTATCAAAGTAAGAATTATGTATGAACAAAATTTTTTATTTTGGGTAAACAGCAACCCCTCACATACCATTTGAAGTTGAGACCAGCTTTCAAGCTCTGATAAGTCTAATGTCTGATGACCCAAGTCTAGATTATTACAGACTATAACAGATCTTCAATTTGCATTCATCATGATTAATAAAACCATCAACTTAGGCAAAAAACAACACAAGAACTGGTGAAGATCAAGGAACTATATATCTGGTTAATGCATAGACCTTTTTTAAAATCCAGGATCATTGTACTTTATATATATTTGCACTTTCACAAATCATTCTCTTTATTTGTTATGATATATACTAAATTGAAACATTATGATTTTTTTTGTATTTAGGCAGGTCAAGACAAGAAGTGCAAATAATTGCTCGAATGGACAAAAGATGTGGTGAATCATTTTTGGTACACTGCACAAACATGTAACACTAAAGAAGAGTTCATGGTGAGATGGATTATTTATTCATATCTGTTTCATTTCGAGTTCAAACTAATTTTTTTTATAATATTACTCCATTTGGGTCTGATTTTGCATTTCTATTTTCTTTCTGTGTCTTGGTCAGCTTTCTCATGAATATATTATTTGTTGAATAATAATGATTTATTTTATTATTGTGTAACATATATATATACAATTACATAAAAACAGAATTAAAATGACCAAATATCCAGCCTTATGTGTACCTATAAAAGCTTGTGTTGTCCTGATAATCATGATAATTACAAAATATGTATGTTTAAAAATATAATATGAATTGTTATTCAGAATTTTTTTATAAATTGTACATAATACTTGATATTTAATGTGACTGGTGGCTTATTTTAGGGAATGTGGATTGGTGTTCTGCACCATGTAGTAGACGAACATGAGTGGATTTTTGCGTATAGCACTAATAACAAGTGCGAACATGGACCCTTGTCTTCAGAAAGAGAGAAAGGATGGTTGAAGAAAGATTCACCAGCACATTGTGCATTGAGAGATATAGTCATGAACAAAAGACTGATCAACAATATTCCCCACTATACTAACTGCAGGTATTAACAATACAATTAGGTCATCATATTATTTAAACAAAAGACAGGTTGATATATAAAGCTTATAGGAAAAAAACTGTTTTTACAAATTTCTGCTTTGCTGTGAATAAAACAATATTTTATTTGGATAGATCCTTTTCATCATTAACACGTAGTTGCAGAAGATTTGTACATTCCTATAAGTAATTTTAAAGAAGACATAATTTTTTTTTATTATTGATTTATTTTTGTGTATATTTATTGAAATCTTAAAAAATGTATTTCTTTCAGAAGTACAGCAGAACTGGAAAATTTCCAGAATCTGATTCTGATGTATGCATCAAAAAGGCATTCCTATAGACCACCAACATATAGATGTCGGAACTTGTTGGCAGCTTTAGACCATAATGGTCACATTGGTCGATCAATTTTGACAAACAAAGATGGATCAGTAAGGTAAAAACATTATTTTTTCTTTAAATTGTTTTCCCTTGTGCAAAAGCAAATTTTATATTTTTTCAATATTGTTTAGCAACTTTCTCTTATTTAAATTTCAAATCAATATTAATTTTTGTACTAAATGTATTATGCTTTCATGGTTTAACACTTTATTTTCTAAATCATAATTTAATTTTTGCAATATTTTTTTTGTATTTTTCCAGGTATCAGAGAGTGTTTCAGAAAAAAAGCAGCCGCTGGTCTGTAACACCATGCAAAACTTTGAAGGATTATGCCTACATACCTCAGGTTATCGAGAAAATTGTTTTGAAAAGACTTGCTGATGAAATTGGAATGAATCAGAGGATGATCCTAGAAGTTGATGACCCCAGGAGAGTGTCCGCACACCTTGCACCAGTTCCACCACCACCTACCCAGCAGATTGTTGAGTCACAGCGGTCAAGATTCACTGATGACAGCTCAAACAGGACCAATGATGATATGGACAGGACAATTGACTACTGGGCAGAATAAATCTTATTAAGCCTTCAAAACAATTATTATTTCAAAAATTGACAGTTGGTTTTCTCAGCTTGTTTGTTCAAGCCTTTTGCCTATCATGTTTTTTTTATCAACTTAAACCTCCAAAATCGCTTACAGGACTTCTTTGAATAATATTAAAGACTTGTAATTTGGACATTGCTGCTTCTCAGCTACAAATCATGTAGCATTTAGGAGTAGGATCAAAGTCTGGTTGCCTTGGAGTCAAAAGATGCGTATAGATTGGGTGACATATCTTTCTGCAGGCTGTTATACTGTGAACAATCATAATAAAAATCTGGTTCAGTGGGTTGGTCTACTAAAAGACTGGGTTCCTTGTCATATCACATCAACATGTTGTTTTGAATATAAGCATTTTTTTGAAAGGAATTTGAAATTGCAAATTTTTTCATCAGGGATTCTAATATTGAAACCTGTGTGTTAATTGTATGCATTTGACGTCTTTGAGAAGTTGATAAAATTCATGTTCCATGATTTAGATGAGCAAAACTACCAATAAAGCAAAGTAATTTTCTGTGAAAAGATAGCTGGCAACAAGCTCATTATGAAGAATATCTTTAACAACAAGTAGCTTTGAATCTGCATAAATGATTCTTTTTGATTTTGTATTGTCATCTGTTAAGACTTGTTTTGTTTGACGCAGCCCTGGATAGTTGTTAATTTCTGTGTCATTTTGGTTTCTTGTGGAGAGTTGTCTCATTGGCAATCATACCACATCTTCTTTTTTATATGAAATATGTGCTACTGATATTAACCACACACCAACCAATCAGTACATATAATCTTCTATACTTTCAAGAATTTAAATTTAAAGACAGTTCCAAGACATTTACATCATATCTATTTTATATCTGTACACTGGTACACTACTGACAAAAAACAACAAATATATACAATTAAAAGTTTATACATATTTAATAATGTTATATTCATTATCCCAGACGACCACCAATAAAACCCCTGTAATTTCCAAAACTATCTGGATATTTGTCTCTAATCTTCCAGACACAACAACTTGGAATGACCCTTCTGTTTCCTGCACCAAGGTGACCATGAACCCATAAGATATATTGCCTGTAGGCGGCATGGCGGTTACTTTTATTGTAATCATCATCTTCACCTGCAGCCAAAACGTCTTGTCTATATCTTCTGGCAATAACGAGAACCAAGGGATCTAGTACAACCAAATCAAAATCCTGTAAATGAAACAAAGAGTGTAATATAACTAGGAAAAAATATTTATACATTTTTTTCAATAAACTATTAGCAGAATTATGGTCAAAGCTATGTGAAGGTATGGTTTTCCTAGGTGGCTAGGCTACAGTCCAGTTGCAAATTAAATTGATTTAAATAATTGACTCATATAAAGTTACCTGTCTGGTATTATTTTTTTTTTTCTTCGAAGACCTGTTAATTGATAAATACAAGGGCACTGAAAAAAACTAACCGGTAATGTGGATGTGCAATTTTGTGGTGTTTGCCTGCAACATTTTTTCTCCTCCTCAGTGGGCATTTCTCTGCACTTGGTACAAACACACCAAGATGGGGCATTACTTTCAGGTCTAGGATGGTATCCTTGAATTTCAGTTTGTGAGTTCCTGTCTACAATGTTCAACATAATTGATGGATCTTTGTCAAACATGCTCAACACCAAATCTCTCAAACCATCTGCCGACATCTGAGAAATTCGTACCTGAAAGACAAAAGAAAATGTTTGCAACCATGTTTACTATACATTTTTACAATATGACAATTATATTTATTAAAGGAAATAGGGGTGTAACCCTCGATGTCTCCTTATTTTTTTCCATTTTGATACAATATGGAAGAAAGTTTATTTATATTTATTAACGAACTGCTCATGTATACCCCGAGGGGTTGAATACATAGAAACAACATAATACAAATTTTACACAATGCAAAATGATCATTGATTGATTGAGAAAAAAAAATATTAAAGAGAGATATTTACCCTCATTTGAACATTTCTTTCCTCTCTTCGCTGGACAGCTAACTCTTCCCTAGTTGGCAAGGCTGGTCCATACACAGGCCTTCTATTAACTCTACGACCAACATTTCTCGGACCTCGTCCACGAAACTGGCGACGTCCACGTCCACGTCCCCTGCCTCTGGTAGGCCTTTCTGGACTGGATGAAGATCCCCGACCATCGCCGTTGTTGGAAGATGGAGATTCAGATCTACTGTTTCCTGACTGTCGTGAAATCTACATTGCAATAAATGAATTTGTTTAGTTAAAATGAATTTTCAACGTACATTGATATATAAAAAAAAACGGAAAACGAAAGACCAGTGAATGAGATAGATCATTATAATATTATGCGTTATACACGTATAAACCCTACTTAACACTATCGATCCCATCTCCTTAAATTATAGATTTATAATTTTCAAAAACCTTTATTTCAATTTATAACAAAACCAACCTATCTAAAATATACAAATCACAGAAATAAGTATTCTCTTCTCGTTATCCTTTCTGTTTATCGGTACCCCTTTGGGATGCCCCATTTCAGTTAACATACACTATCGGGATTGCAAGTGGAAGTTTAGGGTTTGTATTTTGAAATAAATACACGGAATTGAATTCTGAGGACATTTAATCGTAAATATCGTCAAATAATACATTTATTGGAAGAAATAATAAGATATTTATAAGAATATAATGCACATGCTTACCTCTCCATCCATATCGATGTATCTGGGTCATTTCACACGCTGTGTCCGCAAACTTCGGAAACGCACAAACGATGCATAATTAATGAGATAGCCAGTCACACAACCTGGTATTAATTAGGAATTATTAACACTTCTACGATTTATATAAACATTTCAGTGTTCTCATAGTTTATTTTAAGTATGTATCTTTCATCTTGGCCACTTTTAAACGTTCTCAAAATTTTGTCAAAATCGTAGCTACTATCCCTTTAACCATCATTCTATCCATCTGTATAATTAAAAAATTGAAAAATCGGAATAATTTGCCTTAAATTACCCTCTTCTGACAAGTAAACAGCTTTGAACTATTTACAATAAATTTGTTGATTTACACGAAAAACTCGATTTACTTCCATGGGGGGGGGGGGGGGGGGGGGGGGTCTCATCCTATATGAAGGTATATACATATGTGCCGCTGGAATGGGTCCTTTTTTTGATACGTCAAATATATCACTGGGGTGCAATTTTACCGAGGAAATATATCTATAGGTAGTAATTGACCAATTGTGATATATCAATGGGTCATAATTTTCAGTTTGTTGTGCAACGATCTTCACTGGATTTCCCAAACTCTTTGTCATTAAAATTTCCACATCTGCTGAAACTTATTGACACAAGTTTTGTTATTGCTCAAATTTTATTACACTGTCACAATTAATAATCTTTACCCACTAGAGTATAGTAAAAAAAAGATCACATATCGAACCTTTTGCACTTATTGCGTAACACATCGGTCTATTTGCACTAATATATAATATATACTTCCGGTTAAGATGGCGACGTCCACGTTTTTTGAATGAGAAACCAATTTAAACCAATTTAGTTAAAAGGACACTGAATTAAGGATCGATTCCTTCAAAATATGAACGAAGATATAGACTAGTATAAACAACTCACACATAAAGTATATCCTGTCATAAATATACTCATTTATCACGCCATTTTCGGAAACAAATATGAGCTCCAGATTACCAAAACCCCCAGCAAAGTTCCATGACTGTGTTACTTGAGGGGAAATTGACAATGCTATTAAAAACAATGAAAATCCGTTAATCCATAAACAATGTGATGGTCGTACAAATAATGTGACATTCAAAACCGAGCATACCGAAGTATGGAAAATGTACTTTTGTCCTATTTTGGAAATGACGCATCACATTTGATTAAAGACGATGGCAACCCCTCGTCATCAAAAGTAACACCTACCGATGTATCTGGCACTGTTTTTCAAATAAAGATAAACATATATAAAACAGGGTCAATAGTTATTCAAGGAGCAAAATGTGTATTATTTGAAGAAAAGTACTTTCAAATTCTGAAAGACAAAGTCGTCAAAATTGCTGAAGAAGCCGGCCAACCCACATGTAATGCACAAACTAAAAATAAAATTAACCAAACCACATTTTCACTGAAAGACAAAACTGATAAGGAAACCACTGTACCTAAAACTATAGATGATAGTTCACTAACATTACATTTAGATCCTGAGATGACAATGATCGAAAAGAAAGACGATATGTGCATTTCGCCTTCATCACCGCATACTAATAAACAATTCACATTAACACCAGTGTCTTAAAAATCTACACTTACTCCAAAAGCAAAAGCAAAAATTCACTTGATAAACAAGTAAAAGAAAAAGTAAGTGAAAATCAAATTAAAATTATGGCCAAGCTAGATAATATACAAAAATCAGTTCAATCTCACAGAGATGAACATGAAGATTCGATGACGGAACTAAAAGAAAAATTTCATACATTTGAAACACAAAGTATAAAGGTACAAGATAAATCTCAAAAAACTAAGTCAAACATACAAGACGAGACTGAATTACTCAAAAATATCTCAGACAAGCCGAAGGACATTAACACATTAACAACAATGATCCAAGTACTAGTAGTTCTCAAATACTCACAGGAGATAATATTAAACCAGGAATAGACACAGACAATCTCATTCTTGGTGATTCCATAATTAAAATACAAGCAAGGAGATTCAACCCCTATGAATCTACAGTTATAGACTATATAAAGGGGGGGGGGGCAGTTGTGTAGGATATGTACAGGAAGTAGGTCATAAATTAAATCCAAAAAACGTGCTTGTGCACATAAGAGGAAGAGAACTTCGTGGAGATGGGGTTAAAGAGCACGAATTTAAAGCGTTATTTTCAGAAATGACCTGGATTTGGCCCAAATCTGAAATCTATGTTCTCCCTATACTCAAAAGGAAAGATATTCCGTATGATCAAGTGCAGAAGGCATATCGGACTATACTATCTGTCAGTCAAGGCTGTAAAACTATTCGAACACTAGACCCATCACTAGACCCATTCGTACCAGCAGACAATATGTACTTTGATAATGTGCACCTTAACACTACAAAAGGCATACCATCGCTTGTTAAATTTTTGAAAAAAGGTATGAATATTACACCCTCGAAAACCAATTCATCGCAACCGTACAAGTCATATGGATCAACCCAACCAAACTACAAGACGTTATGACCACCAATTTAACCAGTATTCAACACATGGGGATCACCCAGCAAACCAAAGATACAGATATTATAGCAACAACCAAGTTAACAATATTCAACACCAACCAGAGTTTTCACAATCACCACGGTTTCCGCAACCACAACCATTCAACATGAACAATAGTCAACCACGACCACCATTTCCGCAACCACAACCATTCAACATGAACACTAGTCAACAACGACCACCGTTTCCGCAAACAACCACATTCAACATGAACAATAACCTACACAGGACGCCATTTCCGCAAGCACCACCGGTCAACTTACCGCCTGTGCCATTTTATCCGTGGCCATGGGGCCCATATAACCAACTAAATAACCAAAATGGCTTTGCAAATTACCCGTAAACACATTTGTTATCTATCAGTATTAATTGGGTATCAAAAGCTATACATGTAAACTAACTTGTCTATTATAGTTGAAAAACAATTGTTATTTGGTGTACTTATTTGCTTGATTAGTCAAGATATGACTAAAATCAGTGTTATTTTTGTTATTTTCAAATATATATAAGAAATACGAATGTTTGTAAGAAAAAATAAAGTAAAATGTTTTTCCATTTATTTTATGGTAAATCAAAATAAATTTTGACGAAACTTCTATTCTATGGTATATAACCATCTATGGAAAAAATAGAAAAAAATGGATAATTTAATTCATTGTAGTTTTGAATTCATCAATTCCTTGACAAAGGATCATCCAAAAACAACTCCTAGTATGTCCTTTTAACTTATATTTGCAACAATCTAATTTAAATCCTTTAACTAAAATAATGCCAAAACTTAGTTCTACTGAATATAATCTGAACATTGGCATGTGGAATATTCAAGGTTTAAATTCAGAAAAAATTAGTGAACATGCATTTGTAAATTTTGTATCAAAAATGCATATTATTAGTCTTGTTGAAACTTGGAGTGACAGTGGTAAACCTGTTGATAATATACCTGGATTTGATTTTATATGTAACAGTACAAGGAAAAAACATAAAAGAGCCAGACGTGGTTCTGGTGGTATTGCTCTGTATGTCAGAAGTTCTATATATGAAGGTATATCCAATCTTGTTCTCATAATAATGCTGTATGGGTTAAACTAGATAAACATTTTTTTAATCTAAAGAATGATATTTTTATTGCTACAGTATATTTTTCACCAAAATATTCTTCTGGTTGTACAGAAGATATAAATGAAGTTTATTCAAAGTTGCTTAGGAATATTGAGCACTATGGTCAACTCGGAGATATTTTAATATAAGGTGATTTAAATGCCTATACTAATACTATTCCTGACATTGTAATCTCTGATGAAGCAAAATTCCCAAAATCAAATGACAATGAGTATTCAATTGACTCGCATAATTTATGAAATAATCTTGATTCGAAATCTGCAAACAGGAGTGGAAAATTATTAATTGATTTGTGTAAAGAATCCGGACTCAGAATACTGAATAGAAGAACTATTGGAGACTCTATGGGCAAATGTACATGTATAACATATAATGGTTCCAGTCTTGTAGACTATACACTTGTGTCTTCTAATATATTAGAATGTATTGGAAACTTTAAATTAATGAGTTTACTACAATTTCAGATCATTGTCCCATCAGTTGCTCTTTACTTACTTGCTTTCAAAAATGTAAAAACACAGGGTCAAAATTAGATCCTCTGCCTGGTAAATTTATTTGGGATAACAAAGTAATTGGTTGCTATACTACAAACATTCAAAGCTCACATGTGAAACAAAGACTAGATGATTTTGTAAGTGATAGGCAGATCGATTCTAATATAGCTGTGGAAAAATTTAACGCTATATTATATGATACAGCTCTTTCATCCACTAAATTTGTTCAAAAGAAAATCATGAATAGGCCTATCAAGAAAAATAAAAAACCCTGGTTCTCGGACTATTGTCATGACCTTCATACTACAGTTAAAAAGTACTGTTTTCTTGTAAATAAGTTTCCAGACAATGGATCCTACAGGAAATCATTTTACTCATTTAAATCTAAATTAGGAAGGTGTAAACAAGAAGAAAGAAGTTACAAAAGTCAAATCTGTGACCGAATTTCACTAAATATGATTGATTGATGATTGATTGTTGTTTGCTTTACGCCGCATTAGCACAGAAAGGCTATATCGCGGCGAGAGCTAATTCGAATATTATAACAATTTAAGGTATATTTTTAAAATCAGACAAAAGGTCTTTCAATAAACTAAAATTCTACACTAAAGCAAATTGATTATTTACAAATAAAAATCAACACTAAGATAACGTGATAAAAATTAAAATCGTTTTAAATATAACAACATTTTTATATTTTATAATATATTCCAATTTCTTTTAAGAATGAAACAATATTTGTAAATGGAATATTATTAAATAAATCATACATATTATTGACATTGAAATGCTTCTTCCGAATATCAGCAAAGTCAATA